TTTACATTCCCTTTTATCCTTTTGATATCTTTATCAAAACTTAATAAGCCCTAAGCAATTTTAGTTATTACAATTTTTACTATATTTTCATCTTATGGGTAAGTCCTCTTATTTATTTTTTTAAATCTGGTTATCCCTACTAATTTCCTCTTTGCAGTTAACTTCAGGATCATTTAGTTTCAATACCAAAATATACCATTGGGAGTTTTACTGGAATTGCATTAAATTTCGTTTAAATTTGGGGAGGATTGTCTGGTTCGTCATTTTTAGTCTTCCCAGCCAGCAAGATTTTAAATTGAGAGCTTTAACATAAAAATCCAGATTTCTGACTGCTCTTTCAAAACTGGAAGGTCTTCCACCACTGGACCCTTTATCCTTGCCAGATAACCTTGCCTTCTTTAGACAAGGCCTGAGCTTTCCAACCCACCATCCTATAGCCACCCCTATACTTTGGCAGGATATATTTGTTAGAATAGGCTAAACTGGTATCATGAATAAACCCCAAAATATGATAGCTCAAATGCAAAAGAATTTTATTTCTTGTTCACTTAACAGCCTGTGGCAAATGGTCCAGGTCTGTGAGCAGCCCTCCTCCAAGTGATGATTCAGGGATCCAGGATTCTTTCTTCTTGAGACTCCACCTTCCTTCTTGGGGCTTCACCACTCCTAGGGCTGTGTCTTTCTATGCATGCAGCTGATAGTGTGCAGAGGAGACAAACCTGCCTCAGGCCAAAGTAGTACATACCATATCCACTCACACACCATTGGTGAGAACTAGTCACATGGCCACATCAAGCCTCAAGGAAGACTGGGAGATACAGTCCTAGGTGGACTGACGCTTCCCAGCCACAACTCTGTAACCATGGAAGGGCAGAACAGATTTTGAACAGATTTTGGTAAACAGCAGCAAGCCATCTTTACCTTACACGAAATAGTAAGGAGACCTCTTCAGCCATTTAAATCACAGGCACACTTGAGGTTCCCTTAGCCAGTAGTAAATATGCAGGAGATTCTGGGACTTTAACAAATTCCATCAGTTTCTTCCAGGTATGGATAAATTGGGGGACGTCATCTCCTTAGGCTGGTGTGTGTACAAACAATGTGAAATGGTGCAAGACTGCAAGAAACAGTGCCAGCGTCTGAGGACCCGCATCCACGGCCTGCTGCAGCCTCTGCAAATGCTCCAGGCCCGAGGGGAAGGGAACCTGCCCGCTAAGATCACCACTGCGCTGAACAATTTCCAGGATGTCCTAGAGGAAGCTGAGAAGCAGATAGAGAAGTTTAGCAATAAATCCTATATCCATAAGTCTCTAACATCGGGGAAGGACAAAAGACTCTTTAAAGACGTGAACGAAAGGCTGAACGATGTCCACAAGGAGCTCTCACTGCTGCTTCAGGTGTATCAGTGGGCGCCTGCTTCAAGCATCAGCCAAGAAGTGTCCTGGGAGCAAGAAGATCAGCAGGATGCCGAGGAAGACTGGCGAGTCTTCCGAAGTCTAACTGGTAAGGCTTATTTTGTCAGGGGGCAGTAAGTGGGGACATTTTAGTCTCGTTTTGCTTTACCAAAGGAGCAGGAAGGCTGAAGAAGTTTGAGCAGGTGTTTATTCATGACTCAGAACTCCTAACATCCTTGGGCCCAGATGTGGTGGGGGCTGGTGAAATTTGGGCAAGCCAGAGTGGGGGAGAGGGTGGAGGTGTTGATACTGATGTCTTCTTTGCCTCTCCATTCTCTCTTTGATGTGATACCTGGAATTCCAGAAGCTAATTCCTTCCAGCCTTTGTTTTTCCAGGACCTTCTGTTAACATATAAATTATCCAGAGGAAAGAATTAACTAGTTAACTAAGCAAACGTGAATTGAATACAGTCATGTGCCACTTGATGACAGGGATACATCCTAAGAAATGTGTCATTAGGGGATTTCCTCGATGTGGGTACATCAGAGTGCCCTTACACAAACCTAGATGGTCTAGACTGCTACACACCTGGTATAGCCTATTGCTCCTAGGCCACAGGCCTGTACAACATGTGACTGTACAAACCAGCGCAAGATTAAGTCAAGCACAAGAGGATATGATGCAATCAAGAGACACAGGAAACACAAGATATATGAGGTTGCTGCTGGCATAACATGACATACAGTTGTATAGTAAACTGTTCTTTTTTATATGTTTTTATTGATTTCTTTTAGAAAGAGAGGAAGGGAGAGATATAGAGAGATAGAAACATCGATGAGAGACATCATCGATCAACTGCCTCTTACACACCCCCTACTGGGGATCAACCTCGCAACTTCGGGCATGTGCCCTGACCTAGAATCGAACCATGATGCTCAGCCACTGAGCAACACTGGCCAGGCGGTAAACTATTTTTTTATCAGTAGAACATTTTTTTTATAGTAATAAAAAGTATAGGATAGTAAATACATAAACCAGTAACCTAGTCATTTATTATCAAGTATTATGCGCTATACATAATTATATGTGCTATACTTTTATATGACTGGCAATGCAGTAGATTTGCTTAGACCAGCATCACCACAAACACATAAGCAATGCGTTGTGCTACATCACTAGGTGAAAGGAATTTTTCAGCTCCATCATAATCTTACGGACCACCATCGTATATGTAGTCCATTGTTGATCAAAACATCATTGTGAGGCACATGACTGTACTGTATGCCAGGCACTGTTCTAAGTGTTTGAGATATAGCACAGAGCAAAATAGATAAGATCTCTGCCCTCATGGAACATAAACTCTGCAGATAGAGGGCAAAGTAAGTCATTTTACCTACAAGCAATGGAAGTCATAAGCAGGGTAATGAAATAGAAAGCGACAGTGGGTACTGATTGAGTGTCCAGGGAAGGCCTCTCTGACTGGGTGGCATTGGACTGGACACCTTGAATAATGAAAAGGAGCAAGCTGTAGGGAGATGAGAGAGAGGAGCATTCCCAGCAGAGAAAATGGGATGCAAAGACCCTGAGATGAGAATAAATGTGGCGAGTGCAAGGAACAACCAGAAGGCCAGATGACTTTGGTGGGGTAGGCATGGAAGAGAGAAAAGTACAAGATGAATGTGGGGAAGTCGGCCAGAAGATACAGGAGCATGGAAATGCAGGGCCATGAAGGCATGATAAGAAATTTAGGTTTTATTCTAAGAGTCATAGGAAGCCAGTGAAGGGAGGTTCTTAAACATGCGCCTATCATGATTTGACTTGTATTAAAAGAATATCACTTGGGCCTGGCCGGGCATGGCTCAGTGGTTGAGCGTCAGCCTAGGATCCAGGAGACAGCGGTTCAATTCCCGGCCAGGACACATGCCTGGGTTGCAGGATCGATCCCCAGTTGGGGGCATGCAGGAGGCAGTTGATCAATGACAACTCTCTCATCATTGATGTTTCTCTCTCTCTCTCCCTCCCTCTCCTTTCCTTTCTCTGAAAGCAATAAAGATATATTTTTAATATATATGTATATATATTTCACTTGTGCTGATATGGCAGTGGACTGTAGTGATATGTATTAGTCAGTTGCTACACTAATACTGCATAACAAACCATCCCAAAACTCAGAGGCTTTAAACAATAGTTATTCTCTTGCTCACAGATCTGTGGATCCATCGGAGTCCTCCTAATCTCAGGTGGGCTTGGCTCCAGGCTGCAGATCTAATTTGGGTCTGTTTAACGTGTCTCATTCTGGAGCCACGGCTATTGGAGCAGTGAGTACTTGGAGAATGTTCTTCTTATGGAAGAATTGCAAGAAGGCAAGCCCAATGGTGCCAGCACCTTTCAAGCCTCTACTGTATCCACTAATATTCAAAGCCATTGATATAGCCAAGCCCAACATGAAGGGACAGGGAAGTACAGTGCACCCACTATGGAGCTATGGCCAGGGTGTAGATGTATAATACTACTACATACGAGTGAAGAATTGGGACTGATAATTCAACATACCCCAGGGGGCAAGAGTGGAAATGTGAGCCCAGTTAGGAGACCGCTTGGAGACTAGGTAAGAGATGACAGTGGCTTAAACTAGAGTGGCCCTTGAACTACATGGACTTAATGGAGGACAAGGCTTTAAGGGGAGGAAACGGGCTAGGTTGGAGTAGGGGGTGACAGTGGAGCCAGGCCACCAAAAGAAGGAACAGAGCAGGGGGGTGAAGACAAATGTGGCCTCTTTACCCCTTTGCAGATCCTGATGATATGAATTCTGAACTCTTCCCTTTTGTAAGGATTGTGCATGGAGAGAGAGGAAGTGAGGGGAGGGCAAAAGACATTTGAATAAACCTTCTGGGCACTGGAGCCCAGCAGAATAACTGTTCTGCCATCTTGATGTGGAAGGTGGTCCATCCCCAATCAGGTCTGCAGGAGACACTGAAACAGGACAGACCAGGTCTGGAGAAGACCTGTGGGAAAACATGGGTCCTTTTCCAGCCCAGCAGGTGTTGCTCGGTAGCTGAGCATTGCCCCATGCACCAAGAGGTCACCGGTTGGATTCCCAGTCAGGGCACATGCCCAGGTTGTGGGCTCAGTCACCAGTAGGGGGAGTGTAGGGGGCAGCCTGTCGATGTTGATTCTCTCCCATCAACGTTTCTCTCTCTCCCTCACCTTTCCTCTCCCTCCAAAATCAATGAAAATATATTTTTTTAAATGGGTCTTTTTCTGGATGAGGGAAAGTGAGGCATCTGTAATCCCCCAACCAAACAAGGAGAAAGACACTCAGGGAATCTGGCCTGGGGAGGGGTGTGTGAAGAGGCTGACCCAGCTGAAAGGCAGATTGGCCCCCAGTCCTGGGCAAACAGGGATGGTTGGCCACCCTATATAGTGTCTTTATCATTTAAAAAATGTATTTCTGCCCAGCCGGGCGTGGCTCAGTGGTTGAGCGTTGACCTAGGATCCAGGCGATCGGGGTTCGATTCCCGGTCAGGGCACATGCCCGGGTTGTGGGCTTGATCAATGACTCTCTCATCATTGATGTTTCTATCTCTCTCTCTCCCTCTCCCTTCCTCTCTCTGAAATCAATAAAGATAAATTTTAAAAATTAAAAAATAAATAAAAAATGTATTTCTGAGTATATAAATAAGGACAGATTAGATTATGCTATGGTTGAAAAAAGCTCAGTGTCTTAAAGAAAGAAAAGTTTACTTCTTATTCAGGTAAAGTCCAGGAGACTCCAAGGTAGCTGTCCTTTCTATGAACTTTCGGTATCATGATACTTTTATGTTGACACTAACTTCCCTGTCATTTCTTTCACTTCGTTTCTTGGCCAAAGCAAGTCACACGGCCACGCTTCAAGGCACTTACGGTGTGCTTAGAAGTGGAAAGCTGAATATTTGTGAGCAGTAGTAGTAATTCCTACTCCAATGAATATGATAGGTTTTAATTAGCATTTCTATTTTTGAGTATTTGCTACTCTTTTTCCTGCAGGAAGTGCAATTATCGAAGCTTCAATGGAGCAATTGAAAAATGACGTGGAAAAAATCATGGAGACCAACAGGAAAAAAATCATTGAGACCGTGAGGCACTGTGAGTTACCCTGTGCCCTGCCGCTCTCACTGCCAGAGTCATTTGTTTACTAGGAAATCCAGTTTGCCCCCACTCCCACCACTGCCTGTTTTCTGGGCTGGATGGTTGGAAACAGCCTACAGGTTTAGGGGCGTGCTCATGACTACCCCAGGCTTCTGTCCTTAGAGTAACATTTGAAGGGAACTTCTTGACCAACAAGGTATCTTCTAGCACCGATCCAGTTGCTGACAGCTTCTTCTAGGTAGCATCGAAACTTCCTTTGCTGAATTTCCAGGAACAAATTCAAATCAAATGTAAAATACTCATTCATCACTTATTTGACAAATCTGTATCTGCTTTATGAGCCTTGTACATAGAAGAAAGTAAGATGCAGAGAAATACCCAGCCTTTTGGGAGCTCACAGCCACAGGGCAGAGGAAGGGAGAGGAAAGAGTCATGTGAACACAGCCCAGCAGTGGAGTTACTGAGCTTGAACTATCTATTTAACTATTAGAGCTGGAATGACTAGACAAGATGCTAAATGTTCAAGTGCCAAGTTCAAGTGGCTGTAGGAGTAGGGAGGACTCCAAAATAAGAGAGATGAATTGAGATGGAGGTTTAGGCTGGAGCGACAGACAGGATTTGAAGAGGAGGGAAAGGAAGTGCATGACACATTTTTGTTAACCATCCAGCTGTGTCTGTATTGGTCACTCAGAGGCACTGGAACCTCTCCCCCAGGATGAGTCAATCAGAAGCTTCCACCAAGGCCAGCTTTGGTTCACGGCGTAGGGCTTCCCATTCACACATTTACTGAGACACCCCTTCCCTTAGGACACCTTCCTCAGCTCATTGACTCCTTATTTCTTTCTGTCCTATGGTAAGACTTACAGAGTTTCATGAAGAAAGTCCCAGACTATAAAATCAAGGAGATTGAGAAGGAGGAGCTTTCAGAACCTGATTGGACCCTGCTAAGGGAAAATGAATTCAGCAAAGTTTTTAAAGGAAAATACCACCAATCTCCAGTGGCCATAAAAGTATTCAACAACGTCAACCCCAGAAATATTGGGTAAGTCATTTTGTATAGTTCTCTCATGTATCATTTCACTTCCTCTCTATAACTCTCCCAGGAGAGAGGCATATTGTCCCAATTTCTTAGGTGGGGAACCCGGTCCCCAAAGGGTTAAAAAACTTGCCCTCTACTCTTCAGGAGCAGAGCTGAGACTTAAATTCATGGCTTCCAACCTCAATTCTAGAAATGTCTCTATTTTATTTATATATTTAGCTATTTAAAAAAAAAAATTTGTTGTTAATCCTCACCAGAGGATATTTTTCCATTGGTTTTTAGAGAGAGTGGAAGAGAGGGAGGAGGAGAGGGAAAGAAAGAGAAAGATAGAAATATCAATATGAGAGAGACACATCAATTGGTTGCCTCCTGCACACACTCCGAGTCAGGGATCTAACCTGCAACCCAGGTACATGCCCTTGTCTGGGAATTGAACCCACGACCCTTCGGTGCTCAGGCCGACACTCTGACCACTGAGCCACACTGGCCAGGGCTATTTAAAAATTTTTGTTCCCTTCCATTCCTGTTTCTCAGTTCGCCATCCTCTCCACAGACAATAAAGTGTGTTTTGTTCGTATATGTTCTTGCAAAACATATGTTGTTATTATATGTATGTGTGTTTGGTTTTTTAAAAATATATATCTTTATTGATTTCAGAGAGAGGAAAGGAGAGAGATAGAGAGATAGAAACATCAGTGATGAGAGAGTCATTGATCGGCTGCCTCCTGCACGCCCCCAACTGGGGATCGAGCCCACAACCCGGGCATGTGCCCTGACCAGGAATCGAACCCCGATCGCCTGGATCCTGGGTCGACGCTCAACCGCTGAGCCACGCCCAGCCGGGCACGTGTGTGCGTTCTTAATTTTCACAAATGGTAGTGTTATATGTCCTTTGCCTACTTTCACTCAGCATTATGGAGCATGTACTGTATTTAGAGCCCTTTCCTTCTGACTGCTGCTTGTGGTGTAGATCCACATTTTACCTGGTTTTCCAATGATGGAACCCAGCCTGTTTCCAACTTCCCCCCACCAAAACTAATGCTGCCAAAAGTATCCCTTTATGGACCTGTATGAGAATTTCTCTGGGCTGTGTTGCCAGGAGAGGCATCAGTGGATTACAGGGCATGCCTGTGTGAAACTGACTAAGCAACACCAGATCGCTCCTCAGAGTGGGCTGTATATGCCTGCGCTCCCTCCAGCAATGTGCGGGAGCTCTGTAGTTACAGATCTCCACCAACCCTTGGTAATATCCGGCTTTCTCATTTTTCTCATCCTTATGGTTATAAAGTAACATCTTATAGGTATTTTAACTTGCATTTCTGTTTACTGATGAATTTGAACGTTTATTTATATGACTTTTAGCTATTTGTGTCTCTACTTCCCTATAATGCCCGCTCATATCCTCTGCCCTTCTTTCTATTTCACTTGCTGTTTTTTGTCTTGTCAATTTGTGGGAGATCCTTGTATATTATGGAAATTGGTCATTTCTAAGCTTTAGATATTGCAAAGGTCTTCTCTCATCACGTTTTCTATACATTAATTTTGTCAGTGGTGTCCCTCGACAGACATCTTAATTTTGATGTTATCAATTCTACCAAAATTTTATATTATTATGTGTTTATGCTCTTGAGGTGCCCTTCCCCACCCCTAGGTATTCTAGATTTCTTATATTAACTTTGCAGTTTTATTTTTCACATTTAGGCTTTAATCCTTCAGGAACCCACCTTTGTATATGATATTATATAGGGCCTAGTTTTATTTTTATCTACACAGTGAATCCATTTTCTCTACACAACCTATCAAATATTCTTCCCCATTGGTTTGTGGTGCCACATTTATTACATGTTAAATTTCTATTTAGACATGGATCTGGCTCTGACCTCTCTATTCTTTCCCACTGGTCAATTTGTCTTTGCACTGATAACACTGTGTTTGTGTGTGTGTGTTTTATTACAACTTTGTAGTAATGCTCAATATCTAGTAAGGTGTCTCCCTCCTCTTGCCTTTCTTTCTTAGGTTGACTAAACTAAATAAATATCACATTCCTCAACATACACATTGAGATTTTGATTAGGATAGTATTTTTTAACAACTTTATTGAAATGTCACTTACATACCATAAGATTCACCCATTTAAAGTGTATGATTTAACAGCTTTTAATAGATTTACAGAGTTGTACAGCCATCACCATAAAGTGATTTTAGAACATTTCCATCATCCCAGAAAGAAACTCTACCCATTAGCAGTCACACCCCATACACTGCCACCCCCGCCACCGCTAGCCCTAGGCACCTACCAATCTACTTTCTGTCTCTCTGGATTTGCCTGTTCTGGATAGTTCACATAAATGGAATGATACAGTATGTGGCCTTTTGTGTCTGGCTCTTTTTACTTAGAGTGATATTTTCAAGGTAAATCTATGTTGTAGCATGTATCATACGTGCTAATTCTGCTGCCAAACATCTAAGGGGTTCCACACTCTGTCACCAGTGACCAAGTTTGTCTCACCCAGGAAATACTGACAATCCTTCATGCCCACTCATACACAGATGGTCCCTACACTAAATGTTCTCAGAGGAACCTTCCAGTCCTGAGATCTTAATTGTCCTTTTTATCCTCATAGAAGAGTGAGACAAACTTTCAAAAATGAGATCATAACTATGAAGAAATTTGATTCTCCTAACATCCTGCGTATATTTGGGATTTGCATTGATGAAGCGGGTAAGGAGTACTTCTGGGGTTGGTCCTTCTTTTGGTGGTCTGTCATATATCTTCTGTGTTATAATGCATTGCATGTTTAAAGAACAGCTGAAAGGATAGAATCTACATGGTGTTGTTATTATTAGTGTTAATTTTTACATCCTAAGATGCAGGTTGCCATCTCCTTTCAAAAACAGAGGGATTGAATTTGGCTTGAGCCCAGGAGCTGGTTTGCACTAATGTGGCCACATCCTCCTCTCCAAGTCCACTGGGGGCTCAAGGGGTCTTGTTCAGAGGCTGGCCTGAGTGATGGATGTATTTTGCTGCAATAAAACATTATAAAGCTGACTGATCAGAATAAGGAATCTACCCTTGATAATCATTAGTGTAGATCAAACCTAAAAACTCAACCAACCTGCCCCTTTACCAAGAATCTCATGCACCAGGCTCTTCTTAATTTTAATTTTTTAATGTGGCTGCATTTTTCTCTCATAGCATGGTGTCTCCTATGGGTTATGTATTGTTGCTCTTGCCTACAGAGGGGACAGAGCAACTCCTGTCTTATCCCCTGTAGAAGTTTTTCCACAGCTTCTGGTGACTAAAGGAAAACTTCCAGTGATATTTGTTCTCCTTGGTGTTGGTTGAGGTGACTGAGTCATATTTTGTGTGTCGGTTCTTGCATCTCAGGCCCATGACCTGAGACCTCCACTTGGTTCTGAGCTTCCTTCACCAGTGCCTGTGATCTGTGCGTCATTGATTCCTTCCACACGTATTTACTAAGCTCCTTGTGAGGACTGTGTGAACAAAACAGACCCCGCCATCTGGGGTCTTATACTTGAGTGGGGGAGACATTACTCGAATAACTAAGAGAAATGTATAATTATGACATCCCAAATACCGTGAAGAAGAGGTATGGGAACTCTGTGGGTATTTGACCCACTCAATGAGGTCAAGATGCAAAAACTGTGCAAGATGGGGATAGAGAGTGGGGGAGAAACAGTGCAGAGCTAAGTCTGTCTCTCTAGAGACAGGGGGAGATGGGCTGTAAAGTAGGATCTCTGAGTGAGGCTGATATTTTTTCCATCAGTGACTCCACCTCAGTTCTCCATTGTCATGGAGTACTGTGAGCTCGGGACCCTGAGGGAACTGCTGGATCAGAAGAAGGACCTCAAATTGGCTGAGCGCATTGTCCTGGCTGTGGGGGCAGCCAGAGGCTTATACAGGTACCATATGGGTTGAAAGGGTGCCAAGAAGAACAGAATAAGTGTGCCTCCCCTACTGATAATCCCAGAGATGATAAGAGAACAGGCCAGAAGCCCCAGATAGTCTCCCCTTCCTTAAGTTGTTTTATTACTCTGATTATAATACCTTAGACAGGAGGGGGGAAGAACACTTAACCTAGGGAGCACCAGGTCACACAATTGAAAGTCAAATTTCATGTCCACGCTGCTCTTACGGAGTTGGACAGGCCTTGCTCTTAAAGTTGCCAGATTTAGCAAGTAAGAATGCAAGGTGCCCAGTTAAATTTGAGTTTCAGGTAAGCAATAATGATTTTTAATATAAGTATATCCTAAATATTACACAAGACATACTTTTGCTGAAATTTCAAGTACACAGAATTTAAGATAACAATAAATAATTTGGGGGACATACTTATGCTAAAAAAAATTCATTGATTATCAAAAATTCAAAATCAACTGGGTGTCCTGTATTTTACCTGGCAACTCTCCCTACTCTCACATGCAGATTCTGTGGTTCCTTTTGCCCAAGGGTCCCCAAAGACTGCTTGCATGATTTTTACCATATCCACAATTCTGCCAGTATTATTTACTTAATATTGTTCTTTAAATTAGCTCTCTTTTACAAAAACCTAAAGTAAAAGAAAAGGACACTTTCTGTTACTACCATAAATCCAAAACCAGAATCACCTGCCACAAATAGGTGACCATAAGTGAAAACAAAGCGATGCTGTTAAATTCTGCCTGGATGATGCTGCCTGCCAAAAGGTCTATAGTTCAGACCCACATTCCCTTTGCACAAAGGAAATATTAGCAGATATAGAGAGGTAGTAAAGATACCTGACCCCAAACTGAGGCTTTCTCCTTGATGTAGTCAGAGCTTGAAAGAACAAGTTTCTTACTATGGCATACCACTTATCCCATACTTTTGGAAATACTGCCTTAGCTAGTTCTTTTATATGTGTCATAATTAATAATTAATGTTAACCCCCTGCACTAGTGGGTTTTATGAGAAGTAATTTTAGACTGTAGGGGATGCTGTTAGTGCCCCATCCAGGTGGCCTCTGATCCTTTTTAGCAGCTGTGCATACTTATCCCCCATTCAGCATATTTTGCTGTTCACAGCTCCCAGCTGCCTTCCACAGAGGAATATCCATGGGTACTGGAGCCCCTTTGTCCTTATAGAGAGCTAAAAGTGTCCACCTGTCCCTGTCCTCCCCCTTGTCCCATCTACCCATGGATAGCTACGCTTGCGAAAGGCATGGTACTGACCAGCCTCGTTGTCCCAGCAATAACTGTCAAGCCCCCCCGGAAGGTCTGTACAAAGGTCACTAATGCTCCCTGCCTTTGGTCATGTCAGGCTGCACCATTCAGAACCCCCTGAACTCCACAGAAACATCAGCAGCAGGAGCTTCCTGGTAACTAACGGCTACCAAGTGAAGGTGAGCGTGGCTTTCCAGGGAACGCTTTGAGTTCAACCTTTGTGACTGTTTGGTGCTGGGAGAGGGATGCCTGTTTCCCAGAAAGTCTGTGCTTCCTTGTTTCACTGCCTTAACCTTGGAACTGAACTCAACTCTTCCCCTGCCTGGACAGCTTTCTGTGTGCCCACCACAGGACAGACTCGATCCTACCTGCTGCTATGATGCCCGTCTTCCTTCACCACCCACTTAGCAGGGATGGGCTGAGTCATCCCCTCCCCTTTTTATTTTTAAAGAGACTGGGACTAAATGATTTTTAAAAATATGATTTTATTGATTTCAGAGAGAGGAAAGAAGAGGGAGAGAGAGAAACATCGATGAGAAACATTGATCGGCTGCCTCCTGCATGCCCCCTACTAGGGATCAAGCCCATAACCTAAGCATATGCCCTGACTGGGAATTGAACCAGTGACCTCCTGGTGCACGGAATGATGCTCAACCAACTGAGCCACACTGGCTAGGAGGGAGTCATTTCCCTTTAGATGCCTGGACACCACTTCCACATCCCCCCAATACCCACCAGTGGATCTTCTCAGGTCCAAGTAGGCGTTGAGACTCACAAGACTGACACAGGCCACACTTGGCATTTGGAGTCACTTAGAAGGGTACCATGCAGGAAACACAGCTTGACAGCAGGGCACAGTCAATCTTTCTCTCTAGTGAAAGTTCCCACAGCTGTCCCCATAGTCATCCAGGAGATACTCTCTTTGCCCTGCCCCAGGTGAGAGAGAAAGAGGCTCCCCTCAAGTGGGGGTGGGCCCTCTAGCCTTGGAAGCCTCATGACCCACAGAAGTCAATATTGTAACAACTCCTCGGGCATATCTTCAAGTGTCCCCACAAGGGGCATGTCTGTTATAAGAGTCACCACAAAGCCCAGCATCCTATCAGCTCTTTACAGTCCCCATACCCCCTGTTGATAAGCATTTACAATCAGTGATCATTTTTTGTCATCAACAATATTACTTAGAACAGTCTGCTTTTATCAGGTTCCCAGGGGAATGGAGCTAAAAAGTCAGATTCTCATAAGGAAGAGGAAAGGGTTTAACTCAATGTCCGCAATTCTCAAATGCTAAAAGAGTATTTTCTTTGTCAGCCATAGATGCTTTCTTTCTAACAGCCTTATGAGTGTCAGGGACAGGCCTCAAAAAACAGAAGACAGGTCTTTTCTGCCTTTCAGGTGCGTTTCCTCCTCCCTAGTGTGATCTAAGTGCTCCCAAAGCACCATGTCTACACCCCTCATGGTCCTTATCCTGCCTGACTGTAACATGTGCTTTTCAGCCTTTCCTTTTTGGTATCTAGCATGGTGCCAGATGTCAGAGGACGTCAGTGCTCAGTAATGGAAAGGACTGAGCCCTCTAAGTGTCTTATCCTTTCCTGACCTTGCCCCTAGATTTGCGTATCCAGTCAAGTGTGGGGCTGGCAGCCCTCTGCACACTTATGGTGCTAAGGACAGATGTGCGTGGAGCAAGGAGAACATCCGCTCCCACTAATTGTGTTGTGGCTTCTTCAAGAGCATGGCGTTGGCCATGCAGGGTCAATGGGGGTAACTCTCAGTTATCATGTAAAATCCAAAGGAATAGGCTGACTGTTCTAAAGGGTCAGATAGAACAGAGGGGATGCCCTATGTCATTTTTTTAATCTGCTTCTGAGAGAAAGCAAGCCATGTGGTGGTTCTATGCACCTCTGTCTACCCTTGCTTAGTGGATCTGAGTCCTCAACTGAGAAAGCCCTGTATCTAATACAGTAATACTAGAACAACTGCAACTTACCAGGCCTTATAGGTGCTTTATAACTGTTATCTCAAGTAATCCTCATTGCCCCATTTTATAGAGAAGAAACCTCTGTGTTTCTCTTGGTCACTGCACCGTAATAAATTAAACCCGTAATGCCAGCGAGTAGGGCAGCCACACAGATACAGGACACCAATGGAAATGCATTTCAAAGATAAAAGACTATTCCCTGACAATCATGTGTAGCATCAACCCCCTGCCCACTACCCTCACCCAAGATTATGTTGTTTCCTTCTATATCTAATTCACCTCTCTATCAAGCTTTCAGGATTGGAGTTGAGGGAAACGCAGACTTCCATCAGCAGAACAACTAAGAGACAAAAAACAGAGAGAGTCCGTTCCACAGCATATATCTCACCTCAAATACTGGAAAATGTGTTTGATAGATATGACATAAAAGCTGAAATATACAGGTATGCTCATGTTCTTGCACAGGCTCTAACTCAGATGAACAGGATGGGAAAACCCAAGTCAAACTCCACATCCAGAGACCATCATACCTCTACTCTATTGAGTGGAATTGACTGGCAACCAAAAAATTCACTGGAGTTTCTAGAAATGGCTAAGAGGTGTGTGAAAACAGAAACATTATGATTGTTCAGTTTCTTGGTTTTCTTTCAGCTTTGGAATTGTCCTCTGGGAAATTGTCACTGGGAAGATCCCGTTTGAAGGTAACCAGCATGAAGGTTGGCCCAGATGGTGCTGGGATTGGGTCCCTTTCCAATAGACTAGAAAATCCGCATCAGTGCTGTCCTGGGTGCTTTGTTCTCCAATGTGGGCACTGCCTGGGTTGGTCAATAGAGTTACTGGACGTTCTTGTTTCTTTAATGCTCAAAGTCCCTAGGTCTGATGCCAGCGATCATCATTCAGAGAGATATATGAGTGCCAGAGCAATTTTTAAGCCGCTCATCCTATTGTTTCCATGCCAGGCTGTGATTCTAAGAAGATCTGCCAGCTGGTGGCTGTGGACCGGCACCAGGAGCCACTGGGTGAAGATTGCCCTTCACAGTTGCAGGAGATCATTGATGATTGCCGAGCATATGAGCCCTCCAGGCGGCCTTCTGTTAATGGTAGGGTCCTCTCTGATCTAAAGAATGTGAGCCACATGTGGTGTTTCACATATGTGAAAGATTTCCTTTGTGGTTCACAAGCAAGGGTGATTTTGCCCCTCGGGGGACATTTGGCAATGTCTAGAGATTTTTTTGTCACAACTCAGGGAAGATGGGTGGGGTAGGTCATACTACTGGCATCTAGTAGATAGATGCTACTCAACATCCTACAATGCACAGGACAGCCCCCTACAACAAAGAATTCTGCAGCCCAAATATCAATAGTACAGGACTTCAGAAACCCTGTGCTAAGGGATGCTGTTCAGTCTAAAGTGGGTCGGGGTGGTAGATTACTCCTGCCTATATTCTCTCCTCTCCTCCTTTCTCTTCTCTCCTCTCTCTTCCCCCTTCTCTTTTTCTCTCCCCCCTCCTCTCTCTTCCCCCTTCTCTTTTTCT